CCTTGCTGCACACAGGTTTCTTGTAAATAAAGACACCAAAGAGGACAGACCAGTGTGATGGTGGAGCTGTGGGGAGCCTCTGGCAGGGACACGTCTTAGTACAGTCTTTTCTGAAACTCGAGCGTAACAGAGGTCCCCCTCTTATACCAAAGGGTACTTCAACAGAAATAGTCAACAAAAAAGAAGAATCTTTGGTTTTCTGAGGTCTGATAAACAAGTACAACGGGGAACAGTATCACAAGATGAGCTATCATTCCATGGCCACCTTGGCTTCTCTGGTAAAACCGAGCCCCTGAATTCCCTGCAAGACCAGAGCTGGGCTCATGTACGGCGGCAATTGAGGAAGGAGCAAAGAAAGAACCACTTTTTCACCTTTTTTTTCCCTTAACCCCAAACCACAACTTTATTCCAGAATCATATTTTCTGGGAGTCTCCATTGAAAATGGTTTCACCCCACGGTCTCATCAGTAAGAAATCCAGAGGCAGACGGATTTGGAATTCATTCTTCTGAAACCCACAAAGGGCCAGAGGGAAAAACAGAACCTGCGGATAAGTTGGTTTTTAAGTTGTTAATTGGTTTGGCTATTTAGATTTTCTACGAAATGCATGCGAATAACAGCCAACCTCAGGAAGCTTGCTAATATCTTAAAAAGTGAAAAGCGTACAACAGGAGACCGGGAGGCTGGCCTCGACACTGTTCAAGGTCTCTTCCAATCTAGGGATTCTCAAGTTTTCTGATATTACTTTTACTCCAGATGTACTTAAAAAAAAATGTGGTAAGAGACACACAGCAAAGTTTACCATCTTCACCCTTTACACACACGATTCGATGGTGTAAAGGATGTTCGTGGTGTTGTGCTCTCTCCAGAACGTCTTCATCTTGCAAAACTAAGACTGTACCCATTCATCAGCATCTCCCCGTCACCTGCTTCCTCAGCCTCTGACCACACCATTCTGTCTCTGTAAATTTGACTCCTCAGGGTACTTGAGATAAATGAAATCACATATCTGTCTTTTTGTGTCTGGCTTATTTCCCTGAGCAGAAAGTTCGCAAAGCTCACGGCTTTATAGCATGTAATAGGATTTTCTTTCTTGTTAAGGCTGAATAATATTCCATTGTCCATCTACACCGCATTTACTTGATCCGTTCATCTGTCAACGGATCCTTAGACGGCTTCCCCCCTGGGCTACCGTGAGCGGTGTTGCTGTGAATGGGGGTGCGTAACATCTCCTCGAAACCTGCTTTTGGGGATACACCGGCCATGAGATTGTCAGAGTGCGGTCATTCTCTTTTTTCATTTTTTTGAGGATCAGCCACACCATTTGCCATAGCAGCTAAACCGTTCCACATTTCCACCATTTCCCCCACATCCTCACCAGCACTTAACAGCTTTCTGGGTTTTTTTCTGAGAGTGGTCACCCCAACGGATGTGAGGCTATATCATCAGGCTACACTTTAAGGAAAGAAGAGGGGCCTGGTGACAGAGTCAGCGCAGCCAACGTCTCTTTATTAAAACACAAGCCAAGTGGCCCTCGGTCCTGTGCCCAGCGCCCTCCGTGGCTTCGTCCCGCTTGGAATAAGACCAAATTCCTTACTGTGACTAACGGGCCTTCTGGGGTGGGCCTCCTGTTCTCTCTCCCCAGCTCACCTTCTCCCTGGCCTCCTGCTCCCAAAGTCCCGTGAGGCTAAGGCTTGGCCTCTCCTGTCCATTCCTGACCTCCCAGCTTCTAGGACCGTGCCCGGCAATGCCCCATCAGCAGGCGCTGCAGGAAGGAGTGAGCCAGGGACCAACAGTGAGGGGTTAACTACCGCCGTGCTAGCCAGTGAAAAATAAGTAAATAAGGTCCCATCATGCCACCCGTGTCGTCAGAGGTCGGCTGGCCACTCTGACTCTCCATGGGGAACGGGAGGAACTACTCACGTGAGTGTCCACGTCACCGGCAAGGATCCTGCTGTTCTTTAAGAACTCAGCCACCACGCTGTCCATCAGCTTGTCAAAGGCTTCCACGGAGGGCGCCACACCTTGGGGAGGAACATTTAGTTATTCCCTGGCAGTCTAATGAAGAGCCAGGCCTGCCTTGCACTAGGTAACGTGGCCCACGAACGTCCCCGCCATCACCGCTAATGTGTTCCCCAAGTCATTCCCTGGCTCAACCCCGACCAACGGAGCACTTCTCAAGGGCTCAGGAAAACAGGGTCTTCCACCCTCCTGAGTGGGCACTTTTGCCCACAGCCTCTCATTTTCCTCTCCTCCAGCTCAGGTGGTACCCTCCCGGGTGCAGAGGAGGAAAGGGAGAGGCCACAGAGCGGGTGCGTGTGCCCTTCCCTGCTGGGGACGGAACAAAAGGCAAATCCCCAAACTGAACTGAGCCAGATTCACCCAAGGCCACTGGACTCTTCTTCTACAGGGACCTGTCCAGGTGCTAGGTCATCCTTACAAATAGCTACCAACTCTTTGTCCTGGGGGCCAAAAAGAAAATGAGCATGGTGGACCCTGGGTAGGGAGGCAGACACCGCGGACTCCACTCTTCCTGCTCCTTCCTCTGTCCCAGATGGAGGAGAGGCGGCCCTGATGGAAAGGCAGAGACATGGACAGTCCACCGGGTTCTCAGTGCCTGTGACCCTAGAGCTGAAGTGACGACAGCCCAGCTCTGTGTTCTCTCCCTACTTTTTGATCAAATGAAGAAAACCTGGGTCTCTGACTTCCTGCCCCTAAGACTGAGAAACATCATACTGAGAAACTTAGACTTATGGACTGTTGATATCCAAACCCAAATCTAGCATCTCCTTTCTTCTGTTGTATGAATACATCACCCTCACTCATAAAACTAGAGGAGAAAGCCTCCTCCCCTCTCTCTTATTCCTACTTGCCCAGTTGTACCAGCTCAAAGGGGATGGAAATGTTCTGTACAGCCCTCTGCACCTATAAAGTTTCAAGCAGATGTTGAAACTGTGCTATCTTAAACGCAAAGTTCTTGAGCATAAGAGGACATAAGCCCCAGCTGCCTCACGGGTTCACCTGGAAATGGGTAACCCTGTTTGCTGTCATGGAAGGGGCCCAAAGGTCTCCGCCGAGTATTTAAAGTGGGAGAAAGTTTTGGAAATGTGACAGAGGCCTCTACCTAGCAGAGGGTTCGGTGATGAAAGGGAATATTTTCTAATTTCCTTTCATCACTCTACTCTGCTCACACCTCCTCCGGGCAGCCTTTAATGATCTGTCCTCTCACCAGTCTGCACCCTTTGAGCATCTCTTAATCAAAGCATTTGCAGCTCTGAATAGTAATGCACGGAGACCAAAGGTTCCGGAGGATTAGGACTGTGTATAATTCATCTAAGATGTCCTCGCACCTCGCACCGTGTTTGTCACTTGGCAGGAATGCAAAAGTACCTCTTCACTTGTTAGGCTGGACTTATCTAATGATGGTGAGGGGGATGAGTGCGGAGCCCCACATCATAAAACACGTCACGACACACATAACAGCAGACCTTCGAGCTATGTGTACTATGTATTTGTAATGGATTATGTTCTTTCTAGAAATTTCTTTTAAAGTAAAACATAACAAAACAAAATATTTTTGGTGCTGGGGATCAAATTTGGGGCATACTAGGCAAGTAACTCTACTACTGAGCCACACCCCCAGCCCCTAAATAAAAATTTTTAAAAATTTGACTCTAGGGACTGGGTTTGTGGCTCGGTGGTAGAGTGCTCATCTAGCATGCATGTGGTACTGGGTTCAGTCATCAGCACCACATAAAAATAAAATAAAGATACTGGTTCAATCTAAAACTAAAAGATAAATATTTTTTTAAAAGAATGTGCTTTATTTAATTTTTTCCCCTAATCCTTAAAAATATTTGACTCTAGTTAAATAATAGTAATGATGATGTTTATATTTAAGGTTAAAAAGTTGTTCTTAAGAATTTTTTAAGAATAGAATTTAGGAAGCTACCAACACGTACTAATGAAGGAAAAAAAATGTCAATGATGTTGTTTAGGACTTGTAATATATTCTAACGATGGGCCTCATTGGGACATTTTACTAATTATCTTCCTTATTAATTACCCTACTTCATTTCAAGTAGGATAACAAATTGCTAGCTAAGTTGTTTTAGAAAATCTTTGCTTTAATAAACGGTTTGCAATGATGTGCTATATTAGAAAATATCTGTTTAAACACCAAATAATTAAATTATGTCCTCCAATTTTGCTAGCCTATTCATTTTCCCAGAAAAATGATCTTCATCAAGAAAGCACAAAATTCAGTCTACTACCCCTCTAGATGCATAAGATTCCAATCGTTGATTTGATTTTTCTTTACTCAAGATTTTTCTTTACTCAATCCTCAGAGGGTGGGTTTTGGCTATTTTTTTTTTTTTATCACTCACAGACTTTACATTTGGGGTCAGCAACCTCAGGGAAATGTCTGTCCTGGGGATGAGGTCAGGGCATAATGAAACAAAGTTACTGAAGAACATGAAAAGTATTTTCTTACCAATAAGACAGAGGAGTCTCCTAGACCCACTGCACAGCTAACAAAGACTAAAAATGAAACCATGAATGTGTTTCAGTGGTTGTGGAAAAAACTTCCAGACCCCTGGCAGCCGGCCTGCAAGCCCCGCCCCTTCCAATTCATTCAGGGCATTTTAATTTTCATTGTGTTCAGGGGGAAAAGACAGCCGGCACATTTGTGCTCACCCAGTCATTCCTGTCCCCTGGCATGTAACACAAGGCACAGCTCCAGACACGCCCGAGATGCTGGAAGCACCAATGGAGGTCTTCCCTGGGGAAGTGGATTCGGAAGCCTCCTCTTCTCCCAGGCTTTTCTCAGACCTCCAAAAGCTGACAGGCTTCAAAACGGGTCAGATAAGGAGGAGGCGCACGTGGGACAGGAACAGAACTGCCGTGTTAAACACAGATTGCCCAGTTAAATCTGAATTTCAGAGAAGCAATGAATAAATTTCTAGTATAAATATGTACCATGCAGTATGCCCAGGCAGTATTTGGGACACATTTATACCAAAAAAAAAAAAAAAATCTTCTTTATCTGAAATTCAAATTTAACTCGTGCCCTGTATTTTCATTTGTTAAACTGCAGACTTAAACAAGAATGAAACTGGAGAAATTATTATAGATAATTGGAAGAGTCTGCCATATAGGGTACCCTCTTAGAGAAAGAGTTTTTTTTGAACCTACAATTTTTAGGAATCTTTTTTGTTTAAATGTGGTGTTGGCCTATAGTTTTCAAAGAGTGAATAGGCCAGGTGACCATGGGAGGTGGCCCTGGCACATTTCTCAAATTTCCCTCCACATCAGACTGGCTTCCCTCAAAGCTGCAGTTCCTAAATGCAAGGACTTGTCTTAAAATCAACATCCGCAGGATAATTCCTTCCAATCACGTTGCCATTGAGAACATTTGTTTCTTTTTTCTTTTGATCATCACTTTAGATAATACAGCCATTGAGTATTGGAACAGCCGTATAAACACTAAAACCAAGAATAATGACATTTGGCACATGGATCTCTACTCTTAAGAGGCACCGACGTTGGTAAATTTTTGTGGACTGCAGGTTGAAACTTTTAAAATGTTATTACTTTTCATAATGGGTGCAAAAAATTTGTTCGTATTTCTGGAGAAAGAAAACTCATTTTTTTCCTTCTCTTTTTTCAGAGGCGGCGTGTTTATGGCCACACAGAAAGGAAGGAGGAGGGACGGTGGCAGCAAGCAGGTGGGCTGTTATCTGGACAATGAAATGATGAGGACAAAGTTAAGTGACCCACACGGAGACCAGCCATGACGGCCGTGCGGCCCTACCTCCATGGACGCCGTTCACCTCCCCGCAGTTCCCAGGAGGCTTGTGTGACTCCGCAGACAGCTGCTCCAGCCGGCAGACGGCTCGCTCCAGTCTCTCCACCAGGCCCTGCATGTCTTCCATTCTAGAAGGACACACACACAAAGGGAGGCCACGTGTGAGCACCAGGGTGACACCCTTACACCTGCCCGCAGGAGGAAAATGAGAAGTCCTCTGAGCGGCTTGAATGGCCGAAAGACCATCGCCACACGTCGGGAAAGTACATGAAATTCAAGAGAACACCAAAACTTGCAACAACAACAACAAAATTAGCAAACAGTTGAAAGCTTATTTTCTACTCAACCCAGTGCTTTTTACATGACGTGAAAATGAACACATCAGACACACCATCCTCCTGTACCTCACCCTCCAGCCCCTGCTCCGTGCCTCCTCGTTACAAGATACGACTCAGACATGGGGCCTGCTTAAACGCCCACAAGCACATATCCCCAAATTGATATCGCCAACTCTGGCTCTGCTGAATGGTGGGGGAATATTTTAACTATTTCCCACAATTCTTCCTGGCAAAGCATTATTCCCCAGGGGCTGCTAAACCCATGGGTAATCCTTATTTACTGAGTAGTGAGAAAACCAAACAGCCCAGCACAGAACTGAATTTATGAAACTATGTGCCATGAAGGGGGGAGGAGAGTCCCTCCCCAAGGCCAGTTGGTTCCAGTGGGTTTCTATTGCTGAATTAGTTTAAATGAAAATGATCCTGAGTGGTGGGCGATTTTTAACGAAGAATATTAGAAATGATTCTTTTCCTTGGATAAGGCTGCTGGCTATTTTTTAGTAAAATTTTGTGTTAGGTGTGGTGGATTTTAGAGACAGGCTCTTTCTTCAGTTACTCAGTATTCTTGCTGGAACAAATAGGAATTGAAGTGGACTAAGGGATGGGGGATAAAAAGTGGGATTGGCTAGCCATCCCTTCCACTTCTAAACAGATATGTCTCTGTGTGTATTTATTTATAAACATGTATGCACACATATTTTTATGTATTTGCTTGTTTATTTATTTTTTGGTACCAGGAGCACTTAGCCACTGAGCCACATCCCCAGCCACATCCTGAGACAGGGTCTCGCTAAGTTGCTGAGGCTGGCTTTGAACTTGTGATCCTCCTGCCTCAGCCTCCCAGGCCACTGGGATTATTACAGGCATGCACCATAATTAGCTGACCCGAACAAATATTTAAATGACTATACATGGGGTAAGTATGTTAAAATTATTGGTCTTAGAATTTACATTTACATTCCTCTGGGGAGTGGAACCCACTCTAATTCAGGCGGTTCCGAGAGCGCCACTGTGTAGGCACCGTGACCCTGACCACACCCACTTATGACCGCCTTTGGCACAACAGGGTAGATTCCCAAAGAGAATAAAACGGGCCTCCTCTTAACGGGTGCCCGGGGTTCTTCTCACTCTTAAGAACTTTCCGAGCATTACTCTGAGCCAAAGAGGAGCACTCTGCTTCTCATCCAGAGCTGCGGCTGCCCCGGGCATGGGAAGCGGGCACTGCTCTGAGATGGGCAAACATTTCATTTCTCCTGGGAACCAGGCTAATGCACTGCTGTTGGGCTCTGTATGCCACGCGCCTGGGGTTTCAATACCACGATGACACGCCACTGCGTGTTTCCAGGGCAAGGCTCTGCTCATCCAGACGTGTGTGCCTCTCTGTGATCCTGCCTCCAAATGCCAGTCATCGGATTCGGAGGCAGGCTCACTGCCTATTTTGGAAAGTCATCTCTCTGAAAACTGCCGGCAGCGACTCTCTCAGAATATGGAGCAGTGTTCTCTGCACGGCCGAAACCCGCATCAAATCCTCAGGGGATTCAGAATTAGACATCTCTCATCTATTCTTCTCCTCCTCACGTCAGAGCTTTTGATTCCATCGCAATAGAAGAGAGAGGGGGAAGAAAATAAAAAGGAAGAAGAAATTGAATTGAACCCTTTACGTAATCTTCTTGCAAGGGAACAGGGTATCTTTTAGGTGGGTGAAGGCCATTTGAGAAAGGATGAAAGCCCCTCGCATCTTTTAATAGTTGCCCATCTGTTCACAGTTATCTCTGTTCCCTGTTACCCAACTTGCCAAATGTTACCGCCATGGACTTAGTCCTGACAGGGGGGGGGGGAACGCGTTTGCTTTGTTAGCAAGCTCCGGGCCCATAGGAAAGCGCCAGCCCCCGCCCCCCAGCAGCTCACAGAGGGAGCGGCCCTGGGAAGGGCCTGCTACATTTCACACTTGAGCCTGCCATCTCTGAGTGCTGCCTAATCAGACCCCCTGACAAGACCCACACTCACACCCTCTAATGGCGCTCCATATGGTGAGAGGCAACGGGACTCAGCCCGTGAGCTGCGGGGCTGGGCAGATTGCTATGGAATGCAGTCTAACAGAGACTCAGATGTCCCTCCGTGTAAAATCACCATGAGCAAGACCCAAGTCTTGCCCACGGCTTCTGAAGAGACCGAAATGTGGCTCATACGATGAAGCTCGAAAGGGTTTAAAGTTTTAGAACAGGTTCTATGAGAAACTGAAAAATAAAAGAAAGAGTATACCAGGGGACATGCTAACACCTCCAAGAGGCTGCTGAGGTCCCAGCCCTCCCCTCCATCTCCCTCTCTCTCTCTCTCTCTCTCTCTCTCTCTC